GAAAATTGCTTTTCCTCCGTAACTTGATCAATTCATTCTTTATTGAGTGCAAATAGTAAACTTTATAAATGCGGTATTTTGGATTAGGCTTATTTTTCTTTGAAATAAAGCTATTCTGAAAAATATGTCTACTTGATATCTCATTGAACCCTAATATAAATCCAAATTATATATTTACATGAATCCCTACTCAGGTTATAATTCTCGGTCCAGGCTTGAGCAGGTGCCGGCTTCTTGTCTAGAAGAGCACCATTCTGTGTTGATTGATGCCTCTACACAGTTCCAAACTTCATCACCCTCCAGCTTGAAGGACTGCGAAACAAACTTAGGCTCTCAGGTGACCTCTGAGAATTCAACTAGCCCTGTTGATGATCATAATCAGATCGCGTTTGCCTCTCATTTGAAAGGAACTGATAAGCTTACTGGACTTGTACCTAACCATCAGAGCCTAGAGTCAGCAGAGACTTGTAATCCGTCTCTAACTCCCCTACTTACTATGCAAAACCCAGGTTAGTTCTATTCTTAAGACATTTTCCTGTTTTGTGCGTTTAGTCCGTTTTATTCGGATGGTTATTTGCTGGATTGTGTTGTGTAAGCAGAACAGTGAACTGAGGTTTAGTTAGTCTGCTGTCCTGCTGTACGATGGTACAACAGAAGAAGAAAAGCACATTCGACTTTGCCAAGACATTAAATAAATTTCGGTATTAATTATTGAATAAAAATTTAATCACCATAGGTCGCATTAGGTTATTTAAAGATTTATACAAATGGATTGCAGTTTTGACATCGCCTAGGTCTTATTAAAACCCCTAGCGGGACATGAACCATGGCACTGCAGCGTGTGATATCATCACGTTAATTCAATAGAAAGTCATTTTTACTCATATCATTGTGGGAAACTTCAACTACCAGTCTCCTTTTAACCCTAAACGAAATAGGTTGAACATATCTAATAATTGTGATCTACGGGTTGTTTTGATCAGGTAACGAATTCCGTTATGGCTTCTAACGGGACCTAGGCGGGGTCGAATTTGTAATCCAGCCTAGATTAGATAACCTTTTGAGAGACAAGGCTAAATTAAAGTTAATGGCCTCCTGAGGCCTACTTGCTTAAAAGCTCCTTACTACCTTGAAGCAATCTCATTTGAGTAAGTTCTAAATTGAGAAATTATAACTGTTTGAGTTACTCAAGAGTAAGATTTGATATTTTATACGAAATAAAATGGATACATATGCCTCATCTATATTTTCATACGTCACATGAATTTTCGCCAGCATAGATATAGTGTTTTGATACTAATATACCTTTAATTTCGGCTGATAAGATGGATGGTAGGGATTCGTAGATTAACCTCTCCAGATTCCGAAAGAGGATTGCCTTGGACTTTTGTCTGTTGAATTGTGCTAAATATAGCTAATCCTCTGGTTCGCTCGTACAATATACCATTAAGAGATAAAATATGTACTATTCATTATTAATTGAAGATATGCAAACCAAGAGGATATGGCCTTTTGTATGAGCGCAGTCTCTTTTCGTTGT